CACTCACTCACTCACTCACTCACTCACTCACTCACTCACTCACACACACACACACACACACAACCAGAGGTGGACAGTAACAAAGTACATTAACTTGAGTATTGTACTTAAGTACACTTTTTGAGTAACTGTACTTTGACTCAAGTGATGGAGCTGTGTACTTTGTCCACCTCTGCACACAGTGGATCTGTATATGGGCTAGACATCACCGTGTTAACCTGTGTGTGTGTGTGTGTGTTTGATCTGTAGAAGAGCTCAAAGAAGCGAGAGAAGGAGAGAGAAACATGCAAAGGCTGCAGTGAGACCTTCCACTTCACCAAACGCAAACACCACTGCAAGAGCTGCGGCGCGGTACGTGAGTCGCACGCAGACAGGTTTAGTATGCAATGCTGTGCGTCCTGACGTGTGGTGCTATTCGTCTGCAGGCCGTCTGTGGGAAGTGTTCGAAGGTGTCGGAGAGCAGGAACATCCGCGTGTGTAAGCCGTGTTTTGAAGGCCTGCAGGGAGCTGAAGGGACAGCAGGGGGCGGCACTGAGCCCAAGAGAAAACTCGAGGTAACATCAGCCTGACACTGTATTTTCACCCTGACCCTGTTTTTTTTTTTTTTTTTGTCCTACCTGTTTACTAGCATTTAAGAACGACTTGTAAGGCTGTGTGATAAATCAGTATTTATTTATAATAATAATTATTATTTATTATTATTACCAGTATTTATACAAAATTCCATAATATCCTTAATAACATTTCAAATAATTTTTAATACATGCGGTTCTACATGTCACTATGTAAATGAGCAGCTCAGTTTTGTCTGCTACACATACTAGTGCTCATCTGTGTCTCACTATATGAGACACGAACACATGAACGTCATCTCCAGACTCACTTCAGCAGATTTACACCGTTTCATTTCAGATAAAATCACATACACACTGAAACTCAAAGATCTTCACCACAAAACAACATCAAAATAATATATACAGTATATACAGTACACACACACACACACATATATATATATATATATATTTATACATTTACATTTAGTCATTCAGCAGAAGCTTTTATCCAAAGCGACTTACAAATGAGGACAATGGAAGCAATCAAAATCAACAAAAGAGCAACAATATGCAAGTGCTATAACAAGTCTCAGTTAGCTTAATGCATTATTTAATAAATAAAAAGAAAACAGATAGAATAGAAAAAGAATAGAGCAAGCTAGTGTTAGAGGCCTTTTTTATTTTTGTTAATTGTATAATAAAAAGAAAACAAATAGAATACAAAAAGAATAAAAAGAATAGAGAAGCTAGTGTTAGTTTTTTTTTTAAGAGAAACAAGCAGTTAGTAAATGAATAAAGTGCAAGCCTAAAAGGGGCAGGTTTTTTTTAAGAATAGAATTAGAATAGAGAGTGAGAGAGTTAGAGGGTCAAATAAAGATGGAAGAGATGTGTTTTTAGCCGATTCTTGAAGATGGCTAAGGACTCAGCACATAAGTCTGAAGTAATGAATTTAGGTAAAGGGGTGCAGAGCCAGTGGTTTTGTAGGCAGACATTAATGCCTTGAATTTTATGCAAGCAGCTATTGGTAGCCAGTGCAAACTGATAAACAGAGGTGTGACGTGCATTCTTGTCGGCTCATCAAAAATTAATCTTGCTGCCGCGTTCTGGATTAATTGTAAAGGTTTGATAGAAGTGGCTGGAAGACCTGCCAAGAGAGCATTGCAATAGTCCAGCCTGGACAGGACAAGAGCTTGAACAAGGAGTTGTGAAGCATGTTCTGAAAGAAAGGGCCTGATCTTCTTGATGTTGAATAAAGCAAATCTGCAGGACCGGGCAGTTTTAGCAGTGTGGTCTGAGAAAGTCAGCTGATCATCAATCATTACTTCAAGGTTTCTGGCTGTTTTTGAAGGATTTATAGTTGATGTGCCTAACTGGATGGTGAAATTGTGATTTTGTATGACTGTTTACACTTATTCATATAATTTTCACTTTAACAAGAGCAACTTTGAGGTTTTAGGGATTCCAAGCAGATATGCATGTAAACAGCCTTTCAATCAACAGACTACAATAATCATAGTAAGATGTTATCTGGATGTAAAAGAAAACCAAACTGGATGCAAGGTTACTTTTTGCCCATCTTGTGCATGAAATGAATGACATAATTCAACTAAAAGGAACTGAAAGGAGCCGTTTTAGGATGGTTTGTGATTTGCTCTTAGTGAATTAGGAGTCCTCTGGACTACCACTAACTTTCACAGATTTAGGAGCTTGTTTTTTTTTAACATTGAAACGCTTTGTGAAATACTTTTAGAGCAAACATTTTGGACCCACTCATTATTTTTTCCTTAAATCGGCAAGTTTGGAGCTACTTTTAGCCTTAAGATATTTTATGAATATAGCCTCTGATGTCCAGACACTGGAAACAGAGCTGATTTACAGCCACATTTGGAGGTGGCTCAGATTGGATGCAAATGTTGTGTGGATTCTCATGTTCACACGTGTGCATCAGTATCTGATCAGATGTGTGTAAATGCAGGCTTTACTCTGGTGTGTCCAGTGAATCACACACAGTTCTTCCTGAAGAGCGCACTCACAGCACGATCCTCCCCTGAAGCACACTGCGCTCTGCACTTTGATTTCAGTCCCAGTGAGGATGCTGATACTGTCGGATTCAACAAAGTATGTTCTTTAATGCAGTCAAAATGAATGAACAGCATAATGTCTGTCAGTGTCAAACACACTTCAGAAACAATGAAGAGAAGGACAGTAAAGTTTAAACAAACTGATAGTCCATCTTAAACAGCCAGTACTGTTCCTGAATGAACAAACACAACAGTAAACCATGTAAAGCCAAATCAGCAACTGTTAAAAGTGGACCAGCTGAACTCATGGTTATAGTCTGCATGTGGACCGCTGTATGTCCAGCTCATAAAATACTATGAATAACTCAGCCCTGAGTGTTTTATATTTTTGACATGTATGTTTTAGGCACCAATGCATAAATAAGAGACTCACAGCCGTTATAGCTAGAGCCGACTGGTTTGATTATTCTGAAATTCATATTCCTGTGAGAGTATCTGCTTGTTATCAGTAGCAGTTCTTATAAATGATTCTAATATTAAATTAGATGTACAGTTAGGTCCATAAATATTTGGACACTGACACAATTTTCATAATTTCGACTCTGTATGCCACCAGAATATAATTAAAATGAAACAATCACGATGAAATTGAAGTGCAGACTTTAAGTTTTAATTCGAGGAGTTGAACAAAAATATAACATAAAATGCTTAGGAATTACAACCATTTTTATACTCACTCCCCCTATTTTCAGGGGTTCAAATGTAATTGGACAAATAAATATAATCATAAATAAAATGTTCATTTTTAATATTTTGTTGAGAAATCTTTGCAGGCAATGACTGCCTTAAGTCTGGAGCTCATGGACATCAGCAGAGACTGGGTTTCTTCTTTGTGATGCTTTGCAAGACCTTTACTGTAGCTGACTTCAGTTGTTGTTCAGGTCGTTCTGCCTTTAGTTTTGTCTTCAGCGAGTGAAATGCTGCTCGATCAGGTTTAGATCAGGAGATTGACTCGGACACTGCAGAATATTCCACTGTTTTACCTTCAAAAACTCCTGGGTTGCTTTTGTTGTATGTTTTGGGTCATGGTTCATTTGTTCTATGAAGCGCCTCTCAATCAGCTTTGCTGCATTTGACTGAATCTGGGCAGAGAGTATATCTCTATACACTTCAGAGTTCATCCAGCTGCTTCTGTCTTCTGTCTCATCATCACTAAACACCAGTGACCCAGAGCCACTGAAGCCACGCACGCTCATGCATCACACTGCTCCATGCTTCACAGATGATGCTGTGTGCTTTGATCATGAGCTGTTCCAAGCCTTCTCCAGACTCCTTTCTTCCCGTCAATCTGGTACAGGTTGATCTTAACTTGAGCCATCCAAAGAATGCTTTTCCAGAAGTGCTCTGGTTTTTTAGATGGTTGTCCTCCGTGGACGTCCAGGTCTTTTTATGTTTCTGAGCTCACCAGTGCGTTCTTGTTTTCTCAGAATGTACCAAACTGTTATATTAAAGAGCTGTAATTCCTTAATCTTTCCTCCAATTGTGATGACTTGAATATGTTTTGGTCAGCAGCTAAAATAATAAAAATTGTGCCTCTTTCGAAATATATTTCTGTTATGACAACTCTCGGAGGGATTGGCATGGTAATGTACATGACAATGTTAATGTATTTGGTCTTGGCGGAATAGATCTGCTATACGCTGCTGCTGCGGCAGAGCAAGTACCGAGACTTGCTACTGCCAATACATCCACAACATGCTGCTGTGAGCATGTAAGAAATACTGCTGCTGAAAATATAACATACATGAAATAACCCCCATATAGCATACATGAATCACCTCGTAGCAGATCTATACAGGTGGAGCTGGGGAAGGTGGAGGGTTTCTGAAGCAAGCTGCACTGCTACTGCAAGCACTAATCATATATTTGAATGCTGAGCAGCGAGCTCATTGGCTACCGATACAGGAGAGAACCAATCAGCTATGCCATGTGATAATGATGTCATTAGGTCAGATTGAGTTAGACCTATCGGACTGCGCCATCTAGAGTTTCATGCCAGAACTCTGTATATGGACCTAACTGTAAATATAGCAATAATTCCAGTTTCACTTTGTGTTTTAGAGTGTATTCCTGTGATTGACTGATAATTATTGTTCTGTGTTTTTAGGCCACTGTATCTTGAGTTTAACATGCTTCCTCTTGAGCTCGGACTGATGTACGCTATACTGCAAATGTACAACCATACTAGTTTAGTCAGCATATTTTCAGCTGTGTGTGTGTGTGTGTTTCAGAAGCAGCTATCAGTTGCTCAGTCTTCTCAACGAATAGGAAAAGTTGAGGAGCTGGACCAGGAGCTGGGCAACCATCACTGAAGCACAACCTCTGCTGCTTTACCAGCAAACCAGCACACAGGTCAGAGAGTGTGTGTCTGTGTGTGTGTGTGTGTGTGTGTGTGTGTGTGTGTCACCTGTCAAATTATGGTCAGATGGATTTGCGTGACCCTGTCCTGACCTCAGAGCACTTGTCTGCGGATGGTGACACACGGGATAATGTGTGTCTGTGTCTGTTTGAGCATCCTTTTCTGTGCTCTTCTGTGTGTGTTTTCTGGGTAAATCGCTATCTTTAGGTCACATTTCACCCCAGAATCAATAGGGAAAACATGAGAAATTATATTTTGCATCAAGAAAATGAAGCCGATTTAAGGACACAAACCTCACGCTTATTTTTAATACTTTTTTTATAAATTAAAAAGTACAATAAATATGACTACAACATAAATGTACTACTTTACTAATTAATAACATTTAGTAATAATAGTAATAGCATGTTTTTATTTTCACATAACCGTAATCAGAATAAGAATATTTTTGTCATGAAAATAATGTCACAATGCAAAAAAAGTCATAATGGTTCTAAAAACGTTTTTTTGTTGTATACAATACCTGACCTGAATGTTTCATGACAGACATGATGAGATTGCACAATGTCTTGACATGATTGCAGAGATTCAGTGCTGTAATTGTTGTCTTTCTTAGGTCTCTCTGGCTGTGACATGAGAAGAAGAAAGAGTCAAACGTGTTCAGACTGATTCAGTATTGTGAATCAGCGACCGGCTGAACGGAGCTCCTGTCACATGCTGTAAAGGGAGGAGCATGAGCCAATAAGATGCTTACCCCCACCTCTGGTCCCTCCCCTTTATAAAAAAACTCCTGTTACTTGAAATCACTATATCCTCAGCACTTTTTCATTCTTTCTTTTGAAGAACCTTCGTTCACACGCTCGTTGCTCTTTCAGCTGCAGCTCCGTGTGAGAGCGACTGTTTGTCAATGCACTGTTCCCGTCCGCTGCTCGTGTTGCGCTGGATGAAGATGTCTATATAATGCTACGATGAATGATTTGTTGCCTTTCAGATGTTATTAGTTAAAGCATTAAGTCACTGTTCTTGTGATTCACTGTCAGTTCAAACCTTCATGCACCCCTTTGTTTATTCTTTCTGATTTGAAAAGATGAAATCCTTAAAATACAAGTAAACCGAAGAGACACACTGAACTGAAGCAGAGCAAAAAGTCATATTTCACTCAAAACAACAGGAAGAAATAATATTTTGCATGAAAAAAGAAGCCTGTTTTAGAGCCTTTTTTGCATTTTGCTATTATTTTCATGATAATTAAGCACATTTCACCCCAAATTCGCATTATTATTATACACAAGAAAAGTTATGATATGTTTCAATTTTGTAGTGTTCATACATTTTGGAAGAATTAGTCATACTGTAATTTCGTACATAATTAGTCATATGTTGATTTTTTTTTTAAGTACATTTATTACAATATTTATAGTAATGAGAATCACCACTGAGAATGAGGAAAACTTATTGCACACATTACAGGACCGACAATGAGATGTTTTTCAATATATGAATAATGTCACAATGTAAAAATATCTTAATGGTCCTAAAACGGCTTTATTTTACAGAATGTGAAATCTTACTTTGATTTTTGGAGTGAAACCCTGTTGTGTTTTCGCAACATTCACCCACGATTTCACAAGACAAGTGTGTTCATAAACTCTTCTAAAGTCTTTGGTAAGTCCATGGTCTGTTGCTTCCTCAAACTGTGCTGTACAAACCAGAGATGGTTTTCACTGTCTTCATGAGGATCCCCAGCTTCATTGTTTAAGGGCAGATTCCACTCAATATTACACCCGTCTGTTGAACTTTTGCCATTTCAATGCTTGAGGGGAAACGGTTCGCTGTTGTGTGAATTTTAAGGTAAAGGTTTGGATGAGAGGACTAAGTTTAAGAATGTCGTTTTCCTTTCTCTTCATCCTCTCACCAAAGGCACACTTCTCTTTTGTATGCAGCTGTATTGTGATTGCAACAGAAGTACTGTACACCTGCACACTCAGAGTCCAGTCTGGAGGTCGATCATGGTCAACATGTAATGAATGATGTAAACATTGCATTTGCTTCCCTTTTAATATTGTTTAAACCCTTGAAGCAGAACCAGTATTATTAAAAGCATTTTATGTGTACAAAAGCTGTCTTATAGCATATCAATGAATAAAAGAGTATCTGGTCACTGATGTTTATGAGGCTTCATTTATTCATTTAGCTCTTTAAAAGCAAATGTGTTCCAGCACTAGGCACATTTATCTTCGCAGTGACTGTTGAGGAGCAGCACACATGTTCTCATTGTCGATGCTTCACCACAGAAATGGACATATTTCTTTCACAAAACACAAAAGATTCTCGCTAGTCTGAATGTGTGATGATTTTAGTAGCTTCTTGGAATAGGGTGGCACTGACTTCCTGTTAGCAGAATATTATTCAGTCATATATAGATGAATTGTGAAAGCATCTGCTGAGATATGTTGAAACTGATTTCCATCACTTTTATGACTAAATCTGTTACCAATAGAGTTTTAGATGCGGATGATGATTATACAGTCATGTTCACGAACAGACTGAAAACAGTTTCCACATTAAATAATTAGTAATAAGTGTTCAACCAAGTGGACACAACCCCTGGAGATAATACAAATGGTCTACCAATAACTGAGCAAAATTGAACTGCTGTGAGAAAAAAATGCAACATTATGTGAAGTTCAAGCTAAGCTAACGCAAATAAGCTGAGGTTCATTTAAATGGTTCATTGTCCTGCCCACATTGAAATGTTTTAAGAGTGCTGTTCTGAATTTTAGCATGACTGTGAATACCTGTGGCTTCCACCAAATCAAAACAGATTAACAGCATGATTGTGGGTGTGATGTTGCTAACAAGAACTTAATATTGATTAACTAACATTTAGAGACACAATACTGCTAATTTGTCTATTTGCTCTACCAACGAAACTGGCATTCATTTGGTATCTCAACATGGGAAAGCACCAATAACACCACGTCTGTCAGCTGGCAAACCAATCCCAGCAATGATGCGGGAATCCCTCTTTGGGGACCAGTCTGTCAAGGCGGGTTCTTGAAGCCATTACAGCTCTTTTTAGCAGGGATAGTTAAGAGCCAGTGTAAACTAGGTGGCATCTCTGTTGTGGTGACCACGAGCCCATCCAATGGTGCAGTGAGAAGAAAACATCCCTCGCATCCATGCGCCTGTGGGTCTATGATTTCTTCCAAGGACTCTCATCCTCAGTGTATCACATGCTTGAGAGTCAGACACGTACAGACTGTGAGTTTTTATGGATTAAATCTTTCCCTATGAGATGATTGCTCATCTCTTAACTCTTTCCCCGCCACATAAATGGGATTTTCTGTCTTTTATGAGACAACACTTCCCTGCCATTGATGGAATTTTATGGCTTTCTGTGTTTTTACTGTTATACAGAAGGGGGTGCTATTAGACATCTGAAAGAGTACAGAATCTCCTTCATACTGGCAGTGAAATGGGTGAGTCCCCCTCCTTCAGGCCAGGGGAACTAGACGTTATAGAGAAGTGTAGGAGAGCTGCTGCTAAACTCTCCACAGACTAGCCTTTACAGCATATAATCCATACAGCAGTGGCCAAAATGATTAGAACACTAGTATTTCACCAGCTAAAAAATGGTTTTAAGTCAGTTATTTCCATCTTTTGCTGTAGTGTGTCAGTAGGAAATATCAGTTTACATTTCCAAACATTCATTTTGCCATTGACATTTATTTTATCTTTTGCTGTAGTGTGTCAGTAGGAAATATCAGTTTACATTTCCAAACATTCATTTTGCCATTGACTGTAATAATCGAGTGGGATTTTTGTCTGTCAACAGCCAGTGCTCCAGACAGAGATCTGATCTCATCATCATCCAGTCTGTGTCACAGCCATCTGCTGGAATGCCCTTGCCAGCCATCAGAGGGGACTCTTCTGGACTGTTGTTTGTGTTCCGTACTTCAGTTCCCATCACCCCTTGCACTCATTATTAGTTCTCATTGTTCCCAGCGGTGTGTTATTTAGTATTATTTGTTCCCTTATATATACCATGTTCTGTTATCCTTTGTTTGCTTCAGTATTGCGTTCTGTTTCTGTATACTTTGTTACCCCGTGTTTGAATAACTTTTTGCTTTCTTCTTGTTTGCCCTGTTATGGATCTTTGTTTTAGATTTATTAAACTGCACTTGGATCTTTCATTGTTTTCCCGAATATTTCGTGACAGAATACTGAAGCCCAACATCAGATCCAGCAGTTGGGCAGTGTTCTCTGTTTTTCTTTTGGACCAAAGGCATTCATATTCTTCCTCCAGCCACTAGTAAGGAGCGGATTGCATGATTTTGGGCATTGTTGGCTCTGCGCCAGCAGGGGATGGAGGTTGGAGATTTCAACCAGTTTTTTTGGACTTTAGCGGAGGGGCTGGATTACAATGATTAATGGTTGCCTGGATGAACCTCGGCCCCAGTGTGAGATGGAAGCTGCCTGGATGAACCTCGTCCCCAGTGTGAGATGGAAGCACTTCAGACTCTGGATTATTGGGGTTTTGTTAACTATCTCTGTTACCGCAGTTTATAGGTATCACTAGGTGAGTCTGAGCCCATTGCAGTGCCCGCAGAGATGCCAGAGTCCGCTGTAACCTCTTCGGAGAACAGTGAAGCTTCCCTATCTCTGACCCGTAAAGGTAGGGTGAGAAGGAGGAGGGCAGCTAAGTCCGCTCCTGTGGTCCCTATTCTGGTGGTCCCAGGTCTGGTGGTCCTGGAGGATCCGACTCCGGTGGCCTCAGAGTCCACTTCAGAGCCTGCTCTAGTCCGGGAGCCCTCAAAGTCCACTCATGAACCCACTCCAGTCTGGGAGCCCACAGAATCCACTCCAGAGCCTGCTCCAGTCTGGGAGCCCTCAGAGTCCACTCCAGAACCTGCTCCAGTCCGGGAGACCTCAGAGTCCATCATGAACCCGCTCCAGTCTGGGAGCCCACAGAATCCACACCAGAGCCTGCCCCAGCCCGGGATCCCACAGAATCCACTCCAGAGCCTGCTCCAGTCCGGGAGACCTCAGAGTCCACTCATGAATCCACTCCAGTCAGGGAGCTCTCAGAGTCCACTCCAGAGCCCACTCCAGTCTGGGAGCTCTTCAAGTCCACTCCAGAGCCTACTCTAGTCTATGAGTTTACTCCTGATCCCACTCAAATCTACGAGTTTATTCCAGAGTTCGCTCCAGTCTATGAGTCCGCTCCAGAGCCCACTCAAATCTACGGGTTTATTCCAGAGCTCACTCCAGTCTATGTGTCCGCTCCAGAGCCCACTCAATTTTATGAGTACACCCCAAAGCCCAATCCAGTCCAGGAGTCCACTCCTAAGCCTGCTTCCAGGTCGTCCCGAGGTGGCGGCATCTGCTGCAGAACCTCCAGAGGTGGCGGGGGTGTTCACTTCAGCTCCTCTGAAGACAGGGGTGTCCATTTATAAACTCTTCATCTATCTTGACGAGGTCATGGAGACTGTCAGTGAATCCCCTGTCATACCAGTCTCGGCCCTAGAAGTCTATAATAAACTCTTAGCCCTGCCTATTACGGTCGCAAAGACTGCCTCTGAATTCACTCAGTGCCCTGTTGCGGTCGGGGAGACCATTGCTGAACTGTCTGCCTGCCCTGTTATGGTCAAAGAGACCATTGCTGAGCTGTTTGCCTGTCTTATTGCGGCCATCAAGGCTGTTACTAACCTCTCTGTGCTCTTAATTGTAGTCCTGCCTGAGACGCTAGGGGGGTCATCTGCTTTGTCAGCTCCGCTGAGGTGGTCTTCAGCTCCACCCTTGCTGCCTAGCTCCTAGCCTCTACCTCCGTGTCAAGACCCTTTTCCACTACACGGGCATGGCCCGCCATCCCACCCCCTGATCCACCTCCGTTCTGCCTCCCTCCTGGAGTTCTTTGATTTTTGTTGGAGCATCTGGAATCCGCTCCTTAAAGCGGGGGTCATATCACAGCCATCTGCTGGAATGCCCTTGCCAGCCATCAGAGGACACTCTTCTGGACTGTTGTTTGTGTTCCGGACTTCAGTTCCCATCACCCCTTGCACTTATTATTAGTTCTCATTGTTCCCAGCTGTGTGTCATTCAGTATTATTTGTTCCCCTGTATATACCATGTTCTGTTATTTCTTGTTTGCTTCAGTATTGCGTTCTGTTTCTGTGTACTTTCTGTTACCCCGTGTTTGAATAGCTTTTTGCTTTCTTCTTGTTTGCCCTGTTTTGGATCTTTGTTTTTGATTTATTAAACTGCACTTGGATCTTTCATTGTTTTCCCAAATATTTCGTGACAGTCTGTCTGGAATGACATGAAGAAACAGAACAAACTGAGACAGACTAAATCCAGAAGAACTGTGGCAACGTCTCCAAGACGCTTCAAAAAACCTACCTGCAAAGCTACAGTACTGTTAACAGTTTTTAACACTTGACACTTGTGTAAAAATGCTGTCAAAAATAATGTCATAAATATATTTTCTTGATCAATTCACTTCTATTAACTAAATTAAATCAACATTTAGTGTGAGCATCCTTTGCGTGTAAAGCAGCTTTTTCTCTCGGTGCACTTGCACAGAGTTTTTCAGGGAGCTTTGCAGGTAGGTTTCTTGAAGCATCTTGGAGACGTTGCCAAAGTTCTTCTGGATTTAGTCTGTCTCAGTTTGTTCTGTTTCTTCATGTCATTCGAGACAGACTGGATGATCAGATCAGATTTCTGTGTGGAGCACTGGCTGTTGTCAGACAAAACTCTCACTGGATTATTAAATAACTGACTTAAAACCATTTTTTAGCTGGTGAAAATACTAGTGCTCTAATCATTTTGGCCACCACTGTATATTAGCAAGAGTCTGTTGTCACACACTTCTCCAGTAAAGCAGCAGAGTCCAGCTGTCCCAGCATGTGTCGCAGTGATACAGCCAGGGTTTGAAATTAACACCTGCCAAATGCGGGTAAAAATTCGCTGTGGCAGGTAACGCTGTCAAATCACTAGCCAATTTGGCAGGTTACTTTTCGTAAATTATGTTCACTCATTAATTTCTTGGGCAAGTTCATTTAAGCCAAATATGCACAGATTTACCGCAAATACTGAACTCGTAAGTCATCATGATATATTAAATACAGCCTAATTGTGCAACCCTTTATGATC